ATGTCGGAAAAACACATGGCAATCACTGGAGGCTATTCTACTGTTTAGGGATTACAGCATTAATGTAATATTCATTAGTGATTAAAGCAGCAAGTGTTCATTCAAGGCTTTATTGATTAACGTCTAAAAAGCCACATAGATTTCTGAGATACAGGCAGTGAGTCCAAGGCTGCTGGGGTGTGGCAGGGGTAGGATCAGGCCCCAGAGGTAAGGGAGGCTTGGGTCAGATATCCAGTGTGGCACTTGTCTGCCTCCTTCCCCCAGGCTGCTAGCAGGGGAGGCCTGGGGGCCCTCGGAAAGGCCAGATCTTTGTACAATAGCTTGTCTAATCTAAACGAAGGGCTTTTATGGAAACATGTTCTGGAGTAAAACAAAAGCTCTTCTTAGAAAAGGAACCACAAAGTCACAAGTGCTAAACAATACCCAGCCCCCAAGAGAAACGGCGACCCCATTCCTCTCTCTCAAAGCACAAGGAGCTCCCCAAAGATTATAAGCAAGATCCCTAGGCATCTACACCACCATCCACCAGACAGCAGTTTCCAGGGACTGGCTTACTCCTCCACGCTTGCTTTGAAAGCCCCCAAAACAATGAAAACGGAGAGAGAGAACTAGAAAGAGAAATATATTCCACTTTCAACAAATCAGGAAAACAGACACTAGCAGAGAGCACAAATCCCTGGGTGGACCAGACCAATGGAACCAGGAACGCACAGAGCAAGCCAGAGCCCCCATCCTGACCCCTGGGGAGATACAGACCTTGAGATGGCTGCTTGCAAAGGATCACATAGACATGGGAGCAGAGCCACTGAGCAGACCGTGGCCTGTGGACTTGGCCTCATACACAGAGAGAAACAGGCAGCAACTATGGGATAGAAGCACAAAGACCTGCTAGGAGCAATGCCCAATTTATACATGAAGATCTGGGGAATGCAGCCCTCCGGCTGGGCAAAGGAAATGTATTCGGAGAGAGTGTATTCCAGACCACAAACTTGAAATGAAGTGCACCCCCATCCTATTCTTCAACAAAGAACTGACTAAAGTCACCAAGTAACCAGCTCTGGAATCAGGCACAGAAATAGGGTGGGGGAGGAGGGTAAGCACGGGCAGACCCAGAGGAAAGCCTCGTAAGGAAATAGGAAAAGAGCTTTTTTAGTAACATACCCCTCACAGTCTCTGTAAGCTTCCTATTATTACTGCAACAAATCACAACAAACCTGGTGGCTTAAAACAAGAGAAATGTATCATCCTACAGTTCTAGAGGTTAGACCTCTGAAATGGGTCTCACGGGGCTAAAACCAAAGTATTGCAGGATGGTGTTCCTTCTGGAGGCTCCGGGGGGAATGTGCGCCTGCCTTTTACAGTTTCTAGGGGCTGCTCTGGTTCCTCGGCCGGTGGTCCCCTTCCAGGAACCGCATCCCCCGACCTCTGCTTCCAGCGTCAGGTCTGCTCTGACTTTGCCCCTCCTGCCTCCCTTGGGGTTACATCAGGCCCACAATGGATAATTCAGGCCAATCTCCCCATCTCAAGATTCTTAACTTAATTACATCTGCAAAGTCTCCTTTTCCATATAAAATAACATATTCCCAGGTTCTGGGGATTGGGACATGAACGTCTTTGGGAGTCATGATTCCAGCCACCGCAAGAAGCCCCTTTTTCCTTGCCATGTCCAGCCTGGAGGGCACACACATGCATTGGCTCATGGCTTCCTGCTGCCAACAACATCAGTACCAGTCTGATGCCTCTCTGGTCCTCCCTCTTCCACTTTCATGGACCCTCTGATTACACTGGGTCCACTCAGGATAACCCAGGATAATCCCTCTACTTTGAGGTCAGCTTGTTAGCAACCTTCACTTCATATTCAATTTTACTTTTTTCAATTCCAATTCTCCCAACATATTCACAGGTTCTGGACATCAGGATATTGATATCTTTGAGGGGCCTTTACTCTGCCTACCACACTCTCCTAAAAAGATTTTTAAAAATCAAAGAAGAGAACCAACAGAAGGAGAAGAAGAGCTTGGGAAAGAAATGGAGAAAAAGAAAATAAATGAGCTAGGGATGATGACCACATTATAAGCTATTAAAAAATAGAATAGGGCTTCCCTGGTGGCGCAGTGGTTGAGAGTCCGCCTGCCGATGCAGGGGACACGGGTTCGTGCCCGGGTCCGGGAAGATCCCACATGCCGCGGAGCGGCTGGGCTCGTGAGCCGTGGCCGCTAAGCCTGCGCATCCGGAGCCTGTGCTCCACAACGGGAGAGGCAACAACAGTGAGAGGCCCGCGTACCGCAAAAAAACAAAAAACTAGAATAAACACAATCAACCAAACAAAGACACAAGCAAATGAAATGGCAAAGGATGTGAAATATCAAGTTTATCAAAGAGATGACAGATATAAGACCCAGAGGAAATGCTACATAGATAAAGTGACTTGTCTTTGTCAGATGATAGGGTATATTGTGTTCGGTTTAAAAGAAAGTGATACAGAAGATGAGCATACAGAAACAACCTGGAGAAGTTACTGAATCAAAAAAATCATATGAACATCCAGGCAGAAGACAGGCTGAGCTCAAATATCTTCACAATAATGCTCAATGCTAAAAGACAGAAATATTTCTATAAAGTTTTAAAGGAAAGAGTGTGACTCAAGAGTTTTATACTCAGGCAAGAGATATTTTGAAGCTTGCAAAAATTCTCCACTGGGAGTCATGAGCCATTCGAGAGGAGAGCGGGGGATCATGACCAAGAAACTCTATCATGAACTCCAACAACTGAAAGAGGAATTGAAAGAAAGGCCTTGAGAATTCCTCAAAAATTACAGATAAAGGACCAGTACTGTGTGATCCATCTAAATGTAGCACGAAGACCATGTAACTGTGGAAAATGAGGTTTCCTACGAGGGAGCAAATAGTATGTGTCTAGACCATGTAAGCAATGGCGACATAAAAAGCAAGACAGGAGGAATGGGAGGGTGGGGGAAAGAAGGGTGGGCATGCACTTTAGTCATCTTTCAAAGCAGAACTGAACTGATATCAGTCAAGGCAGCTGGCAAACATATTTCATAGTCTCCCCCTAACTTTACAGGGATTGAATGGAGACTATAGCTTCTCCCCAGTCAATTCTTCCTCCTGAGCACCTGCCTAACCCACATGGCAGGGAGTGGACAGAGGGACACTACTTCCTGCTCATGGGCCAGCCCTACTGCAGGAACTGCCACCTGGGAGGGGCCGGCCACTACGTACTCTGGGACTATGGTTATCACTGGCTGGCCCACCCAGCCCAGGGAAGGAACATGCTGGGAACTCCAAGATAGAAGACACTAAGTTTAAATTCAGCAAATCCTTCATTATTAAATTAAATAAAATTTAAATGAGTACATTTTATTTTTTTAACATCTTTATTGGAGTATAATTGCTTTACAATGGTGTGTTAGTTTCTGCTTTATAACAAAGTGAATCAGTTATACATATACATATGTCCCCATATCTCTTCCCTCTTGCATCTCCCTCCCTCCCACCCTCCCTATGCCACCCCTCTAGGTGGTCACAAAGCACCAAGCTGATCTCCCCGTGCTATGCGGCTGCTTCCCGCTAGCTATCTATTTTACATTTGGTAATGTATGTATGTCCATGCCACTCTCTCACTTTGTCCCAGCTTACCCTTCCCCCTCCCCGTATCCTCAAGTCCATTCTCTAGTAGGTCTGTGTCTTTATTCCCGTCTTGCCCCTAGGTTCTTCATGACCATTTTTTTTCTTTTTTTAGATTCCATATATATGTGTTAGCATATGGTATTTGTTTTTCTCTTTCTGACTTACTTCATTCTGTATGACAGACTCTATGTCCATCCACCTCATTACAAATAACTCAATTTCGTTTCTTTTTATGGCTGAGTAATATTCCAGCTCAATATCAAAAAAACAAACATCCCAATCCAAAAATGGGCAGAAGACCTAAATAGACATTTCTCCAAAGAAGATATACAGACTGCCAACAAACACATGAAAGAATGCTCAACATCATTAATCATTAGAGAAATGCAAGTCAAAACTACAATGAGATATCATCTCACACCGGTCAGAATGGCCATCATCAAAAAATCTGCAAACAATAAATGCTGGAGAGGGTATGGAGAAAAGGGAACCCTCTTGCACTGTTGGTAGGAATGTAAATTGATATAGCCACTATGGAGAACAGTATGGAGGTTCCTTAAAAAACTCAAAATAGAACTACCATACGACCCAGCAATCCCACTACTGGGCATATACCCTGAGAAAACCATAATTCAAAAAGAGTCATGTACCAAAATGTTCATTGCAGCTCTATTTACAATAGCCAGGACATGGAAGCAACCTAAGTGTCCATCGACAGATGAATGGATAAAGAAGATGTGGCACATATATACAATGGAGTACATTTTATTTTAAATAGCACATACGACAGTCTAAAAAATGTAATAATCTCCAACATGATTAAGTGAGAATAAAGGAAACTGGAGAACAATGGACACTGTATGCTCCTATGTGTTTAAACATGAAAAAAGGAAATATACATTCTTGGGCATCCACAGAATATTTCTAGAAAGGTACAGAGGAGCAATTAACAGCAGGGCCTCTTGAGAGAGGGACTGGGCCTGGCATAAGAAAATGACTCACATTTTACTATATATTCTTGTTTTACTTCAATTCTGTTAGCCTGTGCACATACTGGCCGTCTCATTTTTTAAGAAAATTGAATAAGCAAAGGAGAAAGGGCAAAAACTCGTATGTCCCTATTTCTATGGAGTAATACCTGCCCTCCCACCTTTCTGTAGGGCTGGTGACACGATGTGGCAAGTTCTGTATTAGCTTTGTCTTTCTAGATTTCAGTATTTCTTATGGATCGTGTTTTACAAAAAGTGTCCCCAAAACAAATGGTTTATGCTCAAAACACCAAGAGCAAAGTGCAGACAAACAGGTTCTCCTACCTCCCCTCCCCCTCCCCCCCACATCAATTAAACTCATCAGTAGTCTATTAAAAAATGAACATCGATGACACACAGTGGACAAAGGTTTGAAGGATCCTCCGGTTTGCTCCCTAAAAAGGAAAATGCACAGTGAATTCCGATGAATGTCCAAAGGGTCCAGACTGCCCTCTCCTGCTCCAGGCTGTTCTGTATCCCAGAACATCCCACAAACTCAGGAAGATGGTGCTGGTGTGACTCGCTCTGGAGCTCTCAGAGGGTCTCCTCTGTTTCCAGGGTGACCTCTCTCTGATCTCAACACAAGCACCTGTCCACCAGCCTCTGTGGTCCTCACATCAACCCCGCGAATGGAATGAGGCTCCCCCTCATTCCAGACGTGGGAACAGAGGCTCAGGGCAGTAAGACACCTCCCGGAGGTCCCCAGCGATGGGGCAGGTCTCTTCCCAACCCTGCTGAAAAGGAATGAACGCCCAGTTGGTTAGGGCTCCGTCCTGAGGGGAGAGGAGCCTGGAGAGAAGCTGTAGAGAACCGACAGGTACCCCTGGACCTGCTGTCACCTGCAGGGACGCAGTGGCTGGGAGATGACCTGACCCAGCCAGGGACTCACAGCAGAAGGCAGCACCATGGAAACAGAACACAGTGTGTCTGACCCCAAAGCACAGCCTCTCCCACACCCGTGCCCCCAGGGGGCCCAGGGATGGCAGTGTCCCACCCCCCACTGGCCTGGGCACTCAGGGGCTCCTCTGCAGGCACTTGGGTGCCTACAACCTCCCCTGTGCACTCTCTGGAAAGCAGAACATGTTGGGGATGCAGGGAGTGGCTGGGCAGAGCAAGTGAAAGGCCAGCAGGTGGTCAGAGCAGGGGCCTGACCTGGACCCACTCCACTCAGTGCCCTGAATGTGGGGGCCCATCCAGCAGACACTCATGGGCTAACCTGGGCCAAGTGCCTGGAAACACACTGGGGAGGATATGGCACAGCCCCAGGGAATGGGCACGCAGCCTCAGGCCTGCTGGGTCCCTCCGAAAAGTCCCACAGCCTGACCGTGGCTGAGCCCTGCCTGCATACAGCCCATGAGTCTAGCTCTAGCCTCCTGGGCTAGCAGCAAACGTCTGGGGGCCATTCTCCTCTGTGAACCACCGGGAACCACCTAACAGCTTCATGCAAATTCTACATGTCTCCAAATGACTTAGGCTCTTTCTACATTTCCTCCAGGTTTTCATTCTTGCTTCTGAAAAGTAACTACAATAACAACAACAAAAACCTCAAAACAGTTTCTTACATTTGTATAGTCTTAATTTACAAAGTACAGCCTCATATCTAGATGAAGAAACCCAACCTGGACTTGTGAAGGGCTCTGCCTCCCTGGAGAATGTGCCTGGGTGGTGGAGGCCCCCACCCCACCTGTCCACCATGGAGGAAGTGTGACTCCTGCCTGGCTGTGCTCCGCCGATGTGATGCCTCACGTGCAGACTCCCCTCCAGCCTGGTAGCTGCCCAGAGATCATGCAGCGCCCCAGTTTTCCTTATGTCACTCATGCTCAGCCTGGGCCAGGACCCTCGGGGAAGGTGTGCTGCTGGGGCGACCAAACACCCATGCAAGAGGTGCCTTCTCATGCCTTTGCCCACTGGTCCACGAATACCACCAGGAATTCGGGGCAAAATGTCACTGCCCATCTCTTGGGCAACACAACGAACTGATGGGAAGAACATGAGGAACCTGGTCTTCCGTGCTGCAGGCTTGGCAGCTCTGTGAATTTAGACAGGTTGTTCCATCATGCTGGGGAGTAGATGGCCAACACACCCTCCTGCTCGGAAAATGTCTCTGCTTCTCTCTTCCTCCCTGTTAGGAAGAGTGTGACAGGAAGAATGCAAACTTTGGGGTTAGGGAAGAGGGGTCTGGGTCTCCAGACTGCTCCAAACACACCCTCAAACACTAGACTCTCCCTCTCTCTGGTGCCCTGGGCATCGCCCTACCCAGAGGGTAAATACTGATTGCAAGTCTGTTCTCAGTAATGCCCACCCTCAGCTCCCTCTAGGGACCCACACCTGGTCTCATCCAGAGCTGGGGTGGGGGAGGGGAAGGACCACAGACCTTCCACGCTCATAAAGGGCTGTTTTGCTGAGGCAGCAGTGTTGAATCGTGAACCCCCACTTTTATCATCACGGGTACAGTGGTTCGGTTCCTTCTTGGGCAACTTTTGCAGCAGAGATAACACCGAGAGGGGACATTGACAGAGAAGGTTAATTAATTTCTTAAAAGAAAAAAAATTTCCTAGCAGTACTTTATCCAGAAAGCATCGTTTTCCCACTCAATACCTGTCCATCACGGCGTCATGGTTCTGCTCTGTTAGGCGAAGTCGGGTAGATCTTATCCTCTTGCCAAACTGAAATAACAGGGAGGCAGGTGGGAAGGGATCTTGCTCAGGGGTGAGGTTGGAGGGGTCCAGCAGCCCCCTGAGGACTCTCCAGAGGAGGGGGACGAGCCCAGGAGAGAGACGTGTCAGGCAGAAGGAGGGCAGTGCTGGTCAGGGGGCCAGAGTGGGCCGCACAGTCGTCAGGGTGCGGAGGGAGGCCTAGAGGAAGCATTAGCCCCAGGGGTCCCACGTCCCGGCTGAGCGTCGATGATGCAGACTGCTTCTTTCTTCAAGGCCCCTCCATAACCCCAGATGGGGAAAGGGGAGGTGGGGAGGAGGGTTTTTAAAAATCCGGAATAGGGGCTTCCCTGGTGGCGCAGCGGTTGAGGGTCCGCCTGCCGATGCAGGGGACGCGGGTTCGTGCCCCGGTCCGGGAGGATCCCACATGCCGCGGAGCGGCTGAACCCGTGAGCCGTGGCCGCTGGGCCTGTGCATCCGGAGCCTGTGCTCCGTGGCGGGAGAGGCCGCAGCGATGAGAGGCCTGCGTACCACAAAAAAAAAAAAAAAAAAAAAATCCGGAGTACAGTCATTTGCCTTATCAAATAGATGTAGCTAATATTCCCTAAGACTGCACACAGTGTCTGCGACACATATACAGAGAAGGTGAAACTACACCTCCCCAGAGAACGGACACTCTGTGGTGTGTCACATCATGGTGAATCGGTAAATAATCCAGGCTTTTTTTATTTTGCACGGTGCCAAACTGGGGTCTCAAGTTTGAAAATGTGTCAGATCTGACATGAGCCACATTCTCAACTATAACACTTTTGAACTCATGGGAGCTAAACAATTCTAGAAAGAATAATTAAATTTCTAATTTTAATTCCCACAGGACTAGTAACTGCATTTCACAAACACGCGTGGAGAGCCTGTTCTGAACACGGGGCCACAGCACAGCCTTCTCCTCGCAGCCTCATGGTCAGAAGGAGTGATGCTGACCACACAATCCATTTCTAATTATAAATCCTTCTTAAAATGCTCTGTATTCTCCTCAGCTTGAGAAATGGATACAAATATTTTTAAGAGACGCCTAATTTTCCCTAGTTGCTCTCTCCCAGCAATGAATGGGGCTTTCTTTCCCCTGATTAGTCAGCACTTGGAGAGAAGGAGGGAATTACTGGGCACAGAATCATGGACTTGAATGAGACATCAGAGGTCAGGCAGCTATCTGTCTCCACCTCACCTGTGAAACAGAGGACTAGAAAGGTGCCAAAGGTGGGGACCTGGGCCAGAGGCTGGGAGTCTCCCCCAGCAGGCCCAGCCCGGCCTTCAGCCCACAGGGGCCACACACAGATGCTCCTTCATGGCCATGGCCACGGCCACGTTTCCTGCCTGGACCTCCGGTCACCCCACGGACTAGTACAGGCAGACCTCCTTTCATTGCACTTTGCTTCACTGCGCTTCGCAGATGCTGCATTTTTTACAACCTGAAGGTTTGTGGCAACCCTGCATTGTCAGACGATGGTTAGCATTTTTTAGCCACAAAGTATTTTTAAATTAAGGTATATGTATTTTTTAGACATAATGCTATTGCACACTTAATAGACTACAGGATGGTGTAAACATAACTTTTATATGCACTGGGGAACCAAAAAAATTCATGTGACTTGCTTTATTGTGGTGTCTGCAACCTCCACAGTAGCTCCTAATTTAAATGCAGCAACACAGCATCTTCTAACAAACCCCTAACATGAAGCAGTGGAATTTCTTGCCTGTATCACCCCTCCCGAGCCCCAGAAACCTTACACGATAATGTGATAATGCATTTCTGAACACAGTGCCATCCAGACTGTTCATGGGGTAAGTGAACTTGGGTGGAAGAAACCTTAGGAAACGCTGTCAGCCTCGGCCAGTTAGGGCAGATGACCCTGGGGAGATGGAGGCTGACTGCACACGGCATGCCTGACAACCGGAGTCCGCCAGCCACTTCGAACTAGGGGGCCCTTAGGGCCCAGTTCACAGCACCTCAGACCAGACAGACTGTACAAACAGAATAATCAAGAGACGTGGATACAAAGTGCAACCCATTCCTGCAAGTCCAGGCCACAGGCTTCCAAGAGATCCAGTGCGACCTTTCAATTTGCCTACCAAAAACTGCGTAGCCACGGTACCATATGAAACAGTCAGCCACAGAGATTTCACATGACCTAATAAGTGACGGGGCTTGCAAAAGAGCCACTTCCTCCCGTGGGGCCTGCAACATCCCTCAGGAGGCACAGAGACTTCTCTGCCCTGCACCACATTTAACACCGATGACAAGGGATGCCCCTTGGTCTCACCTGCTCCAGGAACAGCAGCAGGCCCTGCCAGGGGGCTCGTTCAGGGTGGGGAGAGTGGTGCGGACACCAGGCCGACCAACACCTCCCTCAAGGGTAAATGCCAAGACCGCCCATGCTGGCGGGGCCTCAGGCCACAGTCACTGACCCTCACTGACATGGGACTGGCAAGACCCCACCTCTGGAATCCTTTTCTCTTTCCTCTCCTTCACCCCCCTAGTTTTCCATGTAAAAGACTAATCTTTCATCAGCTCCAAGAGTAAGAAAGTGTGTTCTGTAACGATCCATCCGATGAGCCCTGGGGGGCCTGCTATTCACATGCCCAGCAGCACCCCAGAGGTAGGAGATGCAGCCCAATTCTCAGGGGGTCTGGCGTCTACTCTGACTTGGAGGAACTTCCTTTAGCCTGTTTTAACAGAACTGGCTGACAATTCCAGATAAACAAAAAGAATCACTAGGCCAAAGAAGGCCCTCCATCCTTCTTACCCATGCCTCCTTCTTCCTCAACAAAAAAAGTTAAAGCAAGTTCACTGAAGCTAGGACTTGAATCCAGTGCAAACTGTAAAACCATCAACTAAGAAAACTAAGGGAGAGAAACGGGCTCGCGGTAAGTGAGGTGGGCACACTCTGCCTCCAGTTCCTTTTATTGGAACGACTGATCTCTTTAGAATTGAAGGACTCACTGCACACTCTCTCACCTGCTCCTCCCCCCAAACCTACGCGAAGCCAGAGCAGAGCTTCTCCTCTTGGGAGGCCACCTGGGACTGCGCCCAGGGTCACACAGCTGTTCACCCCGTCCAAGTTGGCTGGCAACTTGTCCATTTTTTTTTTTTTCTGTTCAGGGATGATTCTTTCAAGAGACAGCATGATATTATTTAAAAGACTGGTAAAACATACTCCAATGAATACATTTTAAAAAGAAAAAATGTGCAACTAGAGATTATCATACTAAGTGAAGTAAGTCAGAAAGACAAAGACAAATACCATATGATTATCCCTTATACATGGAATCTGAGATATGACACAAATGAACCTATCTATGAAACAGAAATGGAATCACGTACATAGAGAACAGGCTGGTGGTTGCCAAGGGGGAGGGTTGGGGGAGGGATGGAGTGGGAGGTTGGGTTAGCAGATGCAAACTATTATATATAGAATGGATAAACAACAAGGTTCTACTGTATAGCACAGGGAACTATATTCAATATCCTATGATAAACCATAATGGAAAAGAATATTAAAAAAGAATGTATATATATACATATATATATGTATAATTGAATCACTTTGCTGTACAGCAGTAATTAACACAACATTGTAAATCAATTATACTTCAATTAAAAAAATAAAAAGTGAACGATACATACCTTGGATGTTCAACAATTTTTTTTAAAGGCATGAAAAACTACACATGCAAATGTGTTGCCCCATATTTCAATAATACACATATTCTCCAAGCTTCAAATAATCATTACAGGAACTGTGGGGAAATGGAATGGAACATGGTCTTTGGACACCCAATATGAATAGGTACTGACTCAGTCTTGGGATGTGGGGTGGCCTTCAGGGCAGGAGGCACATCACATCCCAGGACACAGTCCATCATGTGGTCTCTTCCACAGTCCAGACATGCCAGGCCAGCTCCAAGCTTCCTATAATATCCAGGGGAGGGGGACTTCCTTGATGGTCCAGTGGGTAAAACTCTGTGCTCCCAATGCAGGGGGCCCGGTTTCGATCCCCGGTTGGGGATCCTGCAGGCATGCCGCAACTAAGAGTCCATATGCCGCAACTAAGAAGACCGCGTGCCACTACTAAAAAAGAGCCTGCGTGCCGCAACAAAGATCCCGCGTGCCGCAACTAAGACCCGGCACACAATAAATAAATAAATAAATAAATATTTTAAAAAATATCCAGGGGAGCCCCATGTCATAGACAATTTTAAAATGGAACCACAGAGATAATCTGGGTAAATCACGGGTGCGTCAGCCCCAGTGGCAGCAAAGCTGGAGTCTTCACAGCGGTAGCAAGGCTCAAGGTGGCAGGGGCAGCACCAGGACATCCACTCCTAAACTCACCTCAGTAACTGAGAAACTGAATCTCACAGAGGCATGGGTTGGTGGTCTGTTCACACCCATCCCTAGCATCATGTGAAACTCTGCTGATCTAATAAAACAATTGAATGAAACACTGAGCAGAAAAGAAAATGAATTTCAGCGTTCTCCTTTTAAATTTCCTAAAAGTTAATACTGCATCTTATGCATGCATATTCACTCAGACATCAAATATCCATCACACTTATAAGGAAAACTATGGAAGAATAAACTAAGCTCAAACAGATAGTTCCTTGCAAGGAGAAACTCAAGATCTTTCAAACCCAGAAAATGAATTTACTTTAGACTTATCTACTTAAAGCAAGAGAGATGTATTTAGAACTTGCATTAGCATGAATGTACATTTGACTTCTCAGAATGTGAGATGGTGGATAGCAGAAATCTAATAGCAAGCACTAGGGGTTTGTGGGATCCTGCAATTTTACTAGATAAGGCCTTGGAGACACGGGAGGTTAACTTTCTCCTTTTCTCATGAGCAGCCTAGAGCATGACGGTGCCATGCCTCGTCCAGGGTGGCTGGCTGTGGCCGATGCAGGAGGAAATGCAGGGTCAACTCCCTCTTAATCCCAGTCTTTACCAGAGCCCTCCCTCCCACCATGAGATACTGTGTGTAAACCAGCCAGCTAAACACACCTCGACAACATGGGCAGGTAATACAGCAGCATCAGCCTGTGTCTCATTTTCAGAATTTGAAAGACTTGTTTTCAACCCATATACCCATTCTGTTACTATGAATGGTAAGGAACTCCATCCCCAAAGAGTAGAGAAGGCAGTTCCTTCCTGGCCTGCTCTGTCACACCTGTCACATCTGTGTTAATGTCATCTTTTTCTTGGTCTGACACACAGACTGCTTGGGGGATGCAGCAGTCTGCCAAGGGCAAATGAAACTCTGCTTCCAAGTTTCAAGGGTAAAATATTTTCAAATTAGATATACCATAAAAAGGAACCAGCATGTTTTGTTTCCTTTCAAATGCCTATGGATCTCAGGAGTCCCTCTGAATAGGATATTCTGTGCTCCTCCTCAGGGATGGACAGCTTCCAAAAGGATCAGGTACCACCTGTCTTTTAATTGAGTGGCACTTCCCCTGTAGCCCTTTAAAGTGCTCCAAGAGAGGCACAAAGCTGGAAAACAATTTCCATTTGCCCCTTTGAAATCAATAGTCTGATTTACATGCATTTCAACAGAACAAGAAATACAAAGAAATATCCAGTCATAGCATTTGGACAGTTGTCTAGTAGAAGACTTATTCCCTTCAAGGTGTGATCTCTCCCTTCAGCATCTGGGCTCCACAAGGAACCTGGGGAGGACACCATAACTAGACCCCTTGATGGTCATCCAAGCCCTGGGACACACACACCTCGCCCTCACCTTGGCAAGACAACCCTCCCCGCATGAGCTCGCCTCTCTAGACTCACTAGGAACTTTCTGATGAATAACATGGCACACACTTAAAATCAGATTAAGCACATTTAAGTGAAAAGCACAGTTGCCTCTTTTCTCCCGTTTTCATTTTCTTCAGGTAAAGACACACAGAGGGATTAAACATTTGCATTTCTCCATCAGAGAAACCCTGAGGCCAATAACCCTCGCAAGGCAGGCAAATAAACCCCCTGGGAGGTGCCACTGACAGAGTCCTGGGGTTTAAGTCAGTAGCTGTCAAACCCCAAAGAAAGCATTATTGGGGGATGGTGGGCATTTCCACTGGCTATCCTGGCCGGCACTATCACGCCCTCACCAGGACCAAGATGTAGGCAGGAGTTCCATGAGGCCAAGTCTCTCCTCCCCAAGCCAACACTCTCCCTTCTGTGGTCTGAGAAGGCATTGAATCTTCCGACTAGGACCAACCATCACTCTCCAAAGACGTGGAGCCATTAAAGCAATCTCTCTGCCCCACGGAGGGAGACCCATTCTGGAAGCCATAACCTCTGGCTATTCAAAGCATGTGCTTCCTTCAGTGTCCATTCCTTGGGCGATGGGCACATGGAGACGCGGGGCACACACGCACAGACCCCCAGTTTGGGGATCCTTCATCCTTTCCCAAGGTGGCTCAGGTAGAGGACCGCCAAGATGCATTTAGCACGCCCCCTGCTGGCCCCTCGGGAGCTGACTCAGCCTTTATTCTCTGGGCCTAAAACAGGAATTAAATGACCTTAACACCCAAAGGGAACAAAAAGAAAAGCCAAGGCAATTACGGCTTCCCAGAATCAGAAAATGTGATGTTCTAACCATAAAAAGGGGATGAAGAAGCTTTAAAGTAAGGGTTTTTGAAATGTTTTAGGAAATCAGTGATTACTATCTCAAGATTTAGTGAGAACACTTGAATTTGCATTTTCACGAGTACTACAGTGAGTTAAATCAGAAACATTATAATGAATATTTTCACAGGTCTACAAGTGAAAAGGATATGTGGCCAGAGCTCATAGCTCAGAGCCTTAATAACCAATTTTCGTAGGACTGACGCTACTTCAATTACAGAAAAAATCTCGGCCAATGACTTAAGAGGTCAAGTAGCAACTGTTATGCAGCAGGGGCAAAGTCGCGGAGAAGACGAAAAGATGCACATTTGGAGACAATTCCGCTACAGGGCTTCCTGTCTCACGCAGCCTTGCCACTGTGAGTAAATCTGGCACCTTCAGGAGGTGACAGGCCATGCACACATGGCTGCTTCAGAGGGACATGCCCCTCCCCTTCTCCACAAGGGGAGAACAGACAGTTCAGCTTTTTGGTGACTTTTATGCTGTCCTCCACCAGGGCTGAGGGCCTCCACACAGGACTCAGGCTGAGACCCACACAAGGCAAGACTCCATAATGCAATGGTTTCCATCTACTGTCAGCCTGAATGCCAAGGCCTAAGGTGAAGCTCTGCTTCCCCGTTTTCTTCCCACCAATCCAGGGTTTTTGAAAGCTTATCTTCCTGACCAGACTCAAACTTTTTCATGGCCTGTGGTATTTAATTCCTTACAGACCCAATATGACCACACTAATAATTTAAGGCATGCTTCTTTGAACCAATGAGGAAGAGTCATTAATTATTAAATACACGAATGTCAATATTTTTGTCCCTTACTGAATATCCTTTTGATATGATAGGCTTAAGTAGATATACAGACTGTCTTGGGAACTTGCTTACTTCTGTTCTCATTACAGTCAGTACTAATGGAATACTCACACACACAATAAGGCTGACACGCTGCTCGAATTTAGGAGGAGAAATTTCCCCAGAACTTTGTGTGCCATACAGGTAGGCCCCAGCCTCTGCACTCTCAACCCTCTTCAGATGTTAAGCTGGCCTTCAACCTGGTGGGCCGCACAGCTGCTACGGTAAGGAAAGGAAAGGCCGGCAGGGCCCCAGAGAAGCTGTCACCCCTTTCTCCAGAGCAAGCTGCTCCCAGGCCCATCCTAGTTGGGGGGAGGGGGGCAGGGAGAGGAGGTGATGGAGAGGAAGAAGACCCGCAGATTTTCCTGAAGCAATCAAGGCCCTTCAAGATCTAGGCCACACTGTCTACCTTTTCCTGAACACATCATCTGCCACCTGGAATATAATGTCTTTTAAAATTTTTCATCTCACCGCTCACTTTCAATCATAAAGATAAAGCCAGTCAATAACCACTTAAGTGTCATGCATGACTTTCCCCTGGATCCTTGTGATGTGGATGAAGTGATTCCCAGATCCGTGGGGATCTAACAAGTTTCCCTCCAGGCACTCTCGAATCTATTCATTCTCAAGTCAAGAAATAAAAATAAAAACCGTTTTCACCTGTGTAAGGCTGGTGAGTTCACAGAGCAGAGGGAAATCTATTTTGTGGCAGAGTCTCAAAAGGCTGCAAGAGCTGCACGGGAGGAGGGTGCGCTTGGGTGGTTGTGTCCAATGAAGGAAAGTTTTTGTTAATGATGACATCACTGACATCTCCCGAATTTAAAGGAGCACTTAGAGCACAGCAGATGCGATCTCCCCCCCTCCAGTGAGAAGATACCAGGGAAGGCCTCCGGGTTCACAGCCAAATTGCATTAACGGTTCGCCCGCTGTCCAGACAGACCCAGTGGAACGAGCGAGCAGCGTACCGGGCCGCGGTGGCCCACGCAGCCGGGGCAACCGGCCGGCGGCCTCACACGCTGCTGCCGGGCCGTGCCCGGGCGTCCGCTGGCGCCCCGGGACTCCGGCGCGCCCACACGGACAGAGGGACCGGTGTCCCCGCGCCTGTCATCACGTTCCAGTGCATATGGCTCAGGGGCCCGGAGGAGACACCGTCAGCGACCCAGCGAGAGCGCCGCGCCCTGCCCAGAGACCCGCGCCGGGCCGGAGCCGGTGGCCGCGGCGGCCGCGGGGTCCAGAGCCGAGCCCGCAATGCAGACGCGCCGGCGAGCCCCGCGCCGAGCCCGCGACCCCCGCGCCCTCGCGGCCCGGTACAGGGGCTGCCCGGCCTCTGCGCCCACCTGCCCCGCCGCAAAGCCGCGGAGGCATCCGGCGCCGCGCTGGGACTGACCGCGCACCTACCGGGACCGCGGCCCCGGCCCCACCGCCACCGGCAGCACCGCGGCCAGCGCCGTCTCACCTGCCGCGCTGTGCCGCTCCGCTCGGCCAGCCCGCAGCGCCTCAGTCACCGCTACCCGACTTCCATTTTCTCTCGCTTTAAGGAAAATCGGATCAGCTGTTTCTCGCGCTCCGGCTCCGCGGCCCCCTCCCCAGCTGCCGCTCGCGGTCCGGGGGCCTCTCCACCCCCGCCTCCTCCCGCGCTCCGCTCCGCCCCTCGCGCCCCTCCGCTCCGCCCGCGGCCGCGCGCGCCCCCTGACGTCACCGGCCGCAGCCGCGCCCCGCCCCCTCCCCTCGTGGACGTGCGCGCACCCCGCCCCCGCCCTGCCGGCCGGCTCTGAGCGCGCGTGCTCGCGGCAACCACTCGAGCAGAGACCCGGACTCCGGGGAGAGCGCGGGGCAGCTCTAGCCCGCGTCCCCTCGCCCGCGCTAGCTCTTCCAGGTGCCCCTGCTTAACCTTCCTTTGCCCGTCTGCCTGCCTCGCACTGTCTGCGCCCACCTTCATTTCTTGCTTTCTGCTCACGCTTTTCTCCTCAGCATCCCAAACTTTCTCCCACCCATCCTGTCTCGGCTCCATTGCCGAGACCTGCTTCGGGGCCAGTGCATCACATCTCATCTGAAGCTGCTCCCTTTGCCTCTTAAACCGGTTCTCTGACCTTTCCCCATTTCTTGTCTTCCTCTTAAAAGTATTTTCACACCACAACTTCGGACGGCTCCTCTCTCTGATGCCAAGGCCGGCCCACTGCCTTCTGCCCACTCTCACATCACCCTCTCGGTGTAACCACGCCCCCCCTTCCAAATAATGTTATATTACAAGTTACTAATGCCATACTCATGCATTTCTTGACAATCGTTTCACTCTTAGTTTAGGACTTCTTGCTTGGTTTTTAACATTATGCACACATATCTGTAAATTACTAAATATATATCATTTTTAGTAATTTATTTGACTTCTTAAATTAATATACAGTAAAATTGACTTATTTTTTTGGATATACAGCCCTGTGAGTTTTCAAACACCAGTTTGGATGCGTGTAACCACTAGCACAATTAGGATACATCATCCCAAGAACTCCCCCTTGTTGCCCTTCTATAGCCACACCCTCCCAAACCCTAATATGTTCTGACATATGGCAACCACTGATATATTCTCCATTGCTGTAGTTTTGTCTTTTCGAGAATGTTATACACATAGAATTATGCAATATGCAGCATTTTGAAACTGACTTTATTCATTCACCATTATGCCTTTGAGATTCACCCATGTTTATCGATAGTTCTTTTTATTATTGGATGCTATCCCATTATTTGTACTGCGTTTTGTTTATTCATCCATTGAAGGTTTCTTGTTAGGGCAGTTGTGAATAGGTATTCTACAAACAGTTGCATGCAGAGCTTTGTATGGACAAGTTTTCACATCAGGTGAGTAAATACCTTGCAGTACCAATGCTAGGTCTTTTGGTAAACTTGTTTATCGTTATAGGAACCCTAAAAACAGTTTTCCAGAGTGTTTACACATTTTCATAGCCACCAGCAATGTATGAGAGTCCCACTTTCCTGAATCCTTGTCAGCACTTGGTATTTGCTGTATATTAGGCATTCTCATAGGTGTGGAGAGATTTAATTGTTGCTTTAATTTTCAGTTCCCTAATGGAAAATAATGGGGGGCATCGTTTCACTTGCTTATTTGCTACCTGTTTATCTTCTTTGGTGACATGTTTGTTCACATCTTTTGCCCTTTTTTTTTTTTTTTTTGGCCGTACGCGGACCTCTCACTGTTGTGGCCTTTCCCGTTGTGGAGCACAGGCTCCGGACGCGCAGGCTCAGCGGCCATGGCTCACCGGCCCAGCCGCTCCGCGGCATGTGGCATCTTCCCGGACCAGGGCACGAACCCGTGGCCCCTGCATTGGCAGGTGGACTCTCAACCACTGCACCACCAGGGAAGCCCTTTTGCCCATTTTTAAATTGTTTATTTTCTTATTGTTGAGTTTTAAGAGTTCTTTGTATATTTTGGACAGAAGTACTTTATATATGTTTTGCAAATATTTACTGTCAGTGTGAGGCTTGTCTTTTCATTCTCATGTCAGTGTCTTTTGCAGAGAAGAATTTTTTAACTTTAATGAAGTCTAACTTGGCATTTGTTTTTCTTTTAGAGATCATACATTTGGTATTATATCTAAATGCATCACCAAACTGTAGGTCACATAGATTTAAGTCTATGTTTTCTTCTTGAAGTTTTATAGTTTTACATTTTATATTTAGGTCCATGATCCATCTTTATTTAATGTTGGTGTACGGTCTGTGTGTGTCAATTTTTTTTTTTTTTGCATGTGAATGTTCAGTTGTTCCAGTATCATTTGTTGAAAAAAAATCATTTTCTTGTTGAATTGCCTTTGCTCCTTTGTCAAAGATCAGTTGACTATATTTGTGTTGGTCTGTTCTATTGCACTGATCCATGTATCCTTTCTTTGACCAATAATGTCACACTGTGTTGATTACTATAGCTTTGTAGTAAGTCTTGAAGTTCAGTAGTGTCATTCTTCTGACTTTTTTTTTTAGTATTATGTTTGCTATTCTGATTCTTCTGCCTTTTCATATAAACTTTAGAATCAATTTGTAGGTAGCTACAAAATAGCTTGTTTGGATTTTGATTGGGATTCCACTGAATCTGTAGATCAAGTTTGGAAAAGTTGACAAGTTAACAATATTGAGTCATCCAGTCCATGAATATGAAATAACTATTTATTTAGATCTTCTTTGAATTTTTCAGCAATGTTTTATAGTTTTCTATATAAAAGTCCCATACATATTTTGTTAGAGTTACTTTTAAGTATTTTATTTTATGGAGCTATTGTAAATGATATTGTTTTTTAATTTCTAATTTCAGTAGTTCATTGCTGGAATATAGGAAAGCAGTTGGCTTTTGTATATTAACCTTATATCTTGCAACCTTGCTGTACTTGCTTCAGGAATATTTTTGAGCATTCTTTGGAATTTTCTGCTAGAATATTGTCACTCACTAATAGAGACAGTTTTATTTCTTCCCTTCCTATCTGTATACGTTTTCTTATCTTACTGAACTAGCTGGGACTTCCAGTATTATGTGGACTAGGAGTGATAAAAGAGGACATGCTTACCTTGTTCCTGATTTTAGGAGGAAGCATCCATTTTCTCGCCATTAAGTATGATGTTAGCTGTAGGATTTGCTGCATATTCTTTTTTAAAAAAATTAATTAATTGATTGATTGATTTTTGGCTGCATTGGGTCTTCATTGCTGCACCCAGGCTTACTCTAGTTGCGGCAAGCAGGGGCTACTCATCGTTGTGGTGCATGGGCTTCTCATTGCAGTGGCTTCTCTTGTTGCAGAACACAGGCTCTAGGAGCTCGGGCTTCAGTAGTTGTGGCGTGTGGGCTCTCGAGCACAGGCTCAGTAGTTGTGGCGCACGGGCTTAGTTGCTCTGTGGCGTGTGGGATCTTCCCAGACCAGGGCTCGAACCTATGTCCCTTGCATTGGCAGGCGGATTCTTAACCACTGCGCCGCCAGGGAAGCCCCACATTCTTTATTAAATTGAGAAAGTTTCTCTCTATTCCTAGTTTACCGACGGTTTTTTAAAATGAATGGGTGAGAATTTTGTCAGATGCTTTTTCTGCATCTAATGATAGGGTTGTGTGATTTTTTTCTTCAGCCTGTTGATGTGATGGATTACTTGTCTGACTTTAGAATGTTGAGCATTCTTGCATACCTGGGATAAATCTCACTTGGTCGTGGTTTATATTTGCTTTTATACATGGTTGGATTCAGTCTTCTTGTTTTGATATTGGGGTAATACTGGATTCATAGAACAAGTTTATTTTTATCGAAATAGGCCTATTTACCTATTTGTTACCTATTTGATACCTGTTTGTTCTTGCATACATTTTGATAGTTGTGTCTTTCAAAGAATTGATCCATTTCTTCTAAATATTCAGATTTGTAAGTATAGGGTTGTTTATTGTAATTATTTTTTTTCATGTTCATGAAGTCGAGAGGAATTAACCTTCCTTCATTTCTGATATTGATAAACTGTGTCCAATATCTTTCTTAGTTAGCTTGGGACAGTTTTATAAATTTTAATGATCTTTTCAAAGAATCAGCTTTAAGTTTTGTTAATTTTCTCTATTGTTTTTCTGTTTTTAATTTCATTTATTTCTTCTCTCATTTTTATTATTTCTTTTTTTTTTCCGGCTTGCTTTAGGCTTAAATTGTTCTTCTCTCTCTAGTATACTAAGGTATACTAGAGCTTGTTGATTTTTTTCTTTCTTCTTTTCCATTTAATGCCATAAATTTTGCTCTAAGCACTGCTTTTCACTGCATACAACAAATTTTGATAAGCTGTGTTTCCATTTTTGTTTCATTCAATATATTTTAATTACACTTGAGAGTTCCTCTTTGACCCAAATATTTTTAGAAATATATCGTTTAGTTTCCAAATAATTGGAGATTTTCAGCTACCTTTCTGTTTTTGATTTCTAGGTTAATTCATTTGTGGTCTAAGAACATACTGTGTATGATTTCTACTTTTCTGTAATTTGTTAATGTATGTTTTATGGCCCAGAATGTGGTCTTTGTGGATGAATATTCCATGCGAGCTTGGGGAGAATGCATATTATGCCATCTTAGATAGAGTATTTGTAAATGTCAGTTAGATAAAGGTGATTGGTTGTGCTGTTCAGGCCAACTGCGTCCTTATTGATTTGCTGCCTATTTGAGCTATCAATTTTGGAAAGAGGACCTGGTTTTTTAAAATAAATTTATTTATTTTATTTATTTATTTTTGGCTGTGTGGGGTCCCCGTTCCTGCACGCGGGCCCTCTCCAGCCGCAGCGAGCAGGGGCTACCCCCCGCTGTGGTGCACAGGCCTCTTATTGCAGCGGCCCCTCCTGCCGCGGAGCACGGCCTCTAGGCGCAAGGACTTCAGCAGCTGTGGGACGTGGGCTCAGCAGTTGTGGCCCGTGGGCTCCAGAGAGTAGGCCCAGCAGCTGAGGCACATGGGCTCAGCCGCTCCGCGGCACGTGGGATCCTCCCAAGACCAGGGCCCGAACCCGTGTCCCCTGCATTGGCAGGCAGACTCCCAACCACTGAGCCACCAGGGAAGCCCGGAAAGAGGACCTTGGAAGTCT